CTTCGGCTCCTATGCGGAGGCGTGGCCAATTGGAGTTGTGAGGGCGGCGCTTGGGGCGGGGGCAGCATGCGGAGCCCCCTGGCTGCCCCTACATGTAGGAGCCGGAAGGGGGACATGCTGCTGCTTCCGGGAGCCGTGCAGAGCAGGGCAAGCTCTAGACCCCGCTCCCCAGCAGGAGCTCGAGGGCCGGATTAAAATGTCTGAAGGGCCGGATGCGGCCCCCGGGCCGTAGTTTGCCCACTCCTGCTTTAAAATACTGAGGTGCTTGCTCAAATGCCTCTGCTGATTGCAACTGCTGTGGTATCTTTGAGACAGCAGGGTATGCCTACACTGCCCATGTTACAGCACTGCCGTGGCAGTGTAGTCACGCTTTATCACCCGGGGAGAGCTCTCCCGGCGATAAAAAATAACCAACCCAAACGAGCGATGGTAGCTTTATCGCCGGGATTGCGGCTCCCGGTGAAAAAGTACTGTCTATACTGGCGCTTTTCAGCGCTAAAACTGTTGTCGCTCGGGGTGTGTTTTTTCACACCCCTGAATGACTAAAATTTTAGCGCTGAAAGTGGCAGTATAGACACACCCACAGTCTCTCAGGCCTTGTCTACACTGGCACTTTACAGCTCCCCCGAGCGACGCAAGTTTCAGCACTGTAAAGTGGCAGTGTAGACAGTGCACCAGCGCTGGGAGTTACTCCTCTCGTGGGGGTGGGTTGGTGCCGCAACTATACAGCTACGTTAAACGTTTAGTAGTTTAACGTTGGTAGTGAAGACATACCCTCCGATAATCAGCCATTTACGGCTTTATAAGGTAAAGCCAATACCTTAAAGTGAGGTCGATTCTGAAAAATGGCACTGAAAACACAGTATAGTGAAATTCCATATTCACTGTCTCTCAGTGATTCCAAAACAAGTTTGCTCCATTTGTAGTTTGTTTAACAAATGGAAGCTATTTTCTTTAGTGGAAAGTATTGCAAATTTAGCCTGGGTTAAGTGTCAAGATTTTTTTATTTGTTGGCCATCATTACTTATAATTATGGCTGTCAAGTGATTAAAAAAATCGTGATTAATCGCGCAATTAAAAAAATTAATCGCGATTAATCATGCGATTAATTGCACTGTTAATAATAGAATACCATTTATGTAAATATTTTTGGATGTTTTCTACATTTTCAAATATAGTGATTTCAATTACAACAGAATACAAAGTGTACAGTGCTCACTTTATATTATTTTTATTACAAATATTTGCACTGTAAAAATGATAAAAAAAATATTTTTCAATTCATCTCATACAAGTACTGTAGTGCAATCTCTATCATGAAAGTGCAACTTACAAATGTTGTTTATTTTGTTACATAACTTAGGGCTACGATATTTAAGGTTTTAAAAAAGAGGACACTCCACGGGGCCCTGGCCCCGCCCCTTCCCTGCCCCCTCCCCAACTCAGCCCCTTCCCCAAAGTCCCCTTCCCCACCCCAGCCCCGCCCCAACTCCACCCCTTCCCCAAAGTC